ATAAATACATATAGAAAAAAAGCATTCACCATCATCTTTTTTTTTTTTCATTATTTTTTCCATTATTGTTATTGGAACATAGAGATACTAGTAAGTTGTTTTTTTTTTTGTTTTTTTTTTTCAAACGTTTTATGAATTGACCTGCATGGAGATACTACAGTGTAATAAGTAGAAAACTTTGGTTAAAACTTTTTGCCGATCTAAGGCTAATAGCCAAAGGTTGAAAATAATGACAATTCCATTTGAGTCATTCATCATGCAGGTTTTCAATTTAGCCTTTAAATTAGGAAACATATTAACAGGAATAAAAAAAAGAAAGGAAATCTTGAGACAAATCAAGTTTTAGATTTTTCTGCCAACCTTCTCCTCCCTAATGCAAGTTATTTATGTCATAAATCAACCTCTCTCTCTCTCATTTTTTAATGTCTATAAATATTACAACTAGAGTGAATTAGGCAGTGATCATTGGCAGTGAGATTGAAGATTGTGTTTATACTTTATAATTGGAGGCAAACTGCATTTACTGTCAGAATCAAAACACCCTATCAAACTCAATTGTTTATAAAATGCGAGTCAGTTCTTTTCTTATATTTATCGTGATTATTGTTTAATTTAATTTCTGCTTTTCTTTGTGTGTTTGTGTGTGTAGTGTTGCTGCCAACAGCAAACAGAACCTGATGACGGTGGCGAATCTAGGTGTAGTGTTTGGCCCCACACTCATGAGGCCACAGGAAGAAACCGTTGCAGCCATAATGGACCTCAAGTTCCAGAACATTGTGGTGGAAATTCTCATAGAACAGCATGAAAAGGTGAGTGACAAGTTACACATAATGAGTGAGCTTTATTTATTGATTTTCAAACTCTCTAACGTTATGCTATACTAAAGTTGAAGTACTTTTATCTGCAGCCAGCAGGGGGAGCTATGTGTGTTTTGACTGGCCGCTATTTAGTTGGCTTCTCTTTCTGATGGCTCAAATACAGTTGGAGCAACATTCTCATTTGACTAAAATACAGGTTAAAACACTGACTTAATCAGCTTTAGTAACAGTAATCTGGTTAATCCTTAAATGGGGTTCATTCTGAGGGACAAAGGCAAAAAGAGTGGGATTACTTCATAATCTCTGAATTATTTAGCCTACATCTGAAACGGGGTGATGAATTGCTTTCATACTATGTGCAATGTTGTGACAGATTATCATATTTCAGTTCAGCTTTCAAAATAAACACTGGCATCTATTAGTCACTTTGGCTGATTAGATCTTTGCATATTTTTTTAGGGTTGCCTAAAGTTGTTTATTTAATAATAATTAAAAAATGTAACAGTAATATAATAAAACAAATCGTTCAATAATAATAATCATAATAATAATAATAACATTATTATTATTATTATTATTATTATTATTATTATTATTATTATTATTATTATTATTATTGTTGTTGTTGTTGTTGTTGTTGTTGTTGTTGTTGTTGTTGTTGTTTAAAAAACGTTTTATTATTGTATTTATTATTATTATTATTATTACTAATAATAATATTACTATTATTAAAAGTTTTGTTATTTTGTTTAGGTATTATTATTTTATTTTAAAGTTTTGCTTTATTAAAACTATTATTAATCAAAGTTTTGTTGAATATTAATTTATTTGTTTATTATTCTCATTATTATCGCTATTATTATTATTATTATTATTATTATTAACCGATTTGTTTTATTATGTTATTGTTACATTTTTCATTTTATTTGTTCATTATTACTATTATTTTTTTTAGGTTTAAGCTTTGTTTTATTATTATTATTATTATTATTATTATTATTATTATTATTATTATTATTATTATTATTATTTAACGCTTTGGTTTATTTTATTAGTTTATTATTATTATTATTATTTGTTTGTTTTTTTAAGTTTTGAATTGTATTATTATTATTATTATTATTACTATTATTATTATTATTATTATTATTATTATTAAAAGTTTTGTTTTATTTTATTTGTTTATTATTATTTGTTCATTTTAAGTTATTATTTATGCATTTATTCATTCATTCATTCATTCATTCATTTTCTTTTCGGCTTAGTCCCTTTATTAATCTGGGGTTGCCACAGCAGAATCCAGCATTTGTTTTTTACGCAGCAGATACCCTTTCAACCGCAACTCATCACTGGGAAACCCATACACACTCATTCGCAGACATACATACACTATGGACAATTTTGCTTACCATTAATATTATATATATTTTTAATATTACTATTAAAATGTTTTAATATTATTATTATTATTATTATTATTAAAGTTTAAATAGCTGGGCTTCCAGCTAACTCTATCAAGCCTCTTCAACTGCTCCAGAATGCAGCAGCACGAGTGGTCTTCAATGAACCTAAACGAGCACATGTCACTCCGCTGCTAGTCCATTTGCACTGGCTGCCAGTTGCTGCTCGCATCAAATTCAAAGCTCTGATGTTTGCCTACAAAGTGACTTCTGGCCTTGCTCCTTCTTATCTGCTCTCACTTCTGCAAATCTATGTGCCCTCCAGAAACTTGCGTTCTGTGAATGAACGTCGCCTCGTGGTTCCATCCCAAAGAGGGAAGAAATCACTTTCGCGAACGCTCACGCTCAATCTGCCCAGTTGGTGGAATGTACTCCCTAACTGCATCAGAACAGCAGAGTCACTCGCTACTTTCAAGAAACGACTAAAAACTCAACTATTTAGTCTCCACTTCACTTCCTAATCTGCAATTGCCTCTCTGAATATCACACTAACTGTACCCAAAAAAATAAAAAATAAAATAAAAAATACTAATACTACTAATACTTCCCTTCTTAGACTTTACAGACCTGAAACTTGCCTATAGCACTTATTCATTGTTGCTCTTAGTTGTGTAAATTGCTTCCTTGTCCTCATTTGTAAGTCGCTTTGGATAAAAGTGTCTGCTAAATGACTAAATGTAAATGTAAATGATTATAAGAACAGCTCTCTACTCTAGCAATCAAACTCTAAAATGTTGTTGAAATTAACTTTGCTTTAAATAAACATTGTAATGGATATATTTAAAAGACAGAAAGTGGTGATGTGTATGTTAAAATATCATCGAATCATAATCATGCAAGAGATTTGTAAAACTTCTGAAAATGCTGATTCATCCAAATCAAAACATGTGCAGCCTTTTGTGAGTGAATTGTCACTAAATTGTTTAGTTTTTTATTTATTATTTTTGTTATGCAGATTATAGCAATTTAGTCTTTTGGAATCATTGTAGAAATGTATTTGCTATTTATTACATATTTTTTATATGATATTTATTTGAATGAAACCAAGCACTTTCAACCAACTTCACTCAGCTAAGCTACAACATGCATACATATTATATATTAATGAATCATGCAAATATTTATTTCCTTTTTGTTTTAATCAAGTGTTCTGAAAAGCTCATCAAAACAGCATGCAAAATTTGAGATGAATGTTTAATTTTCAGCTTTCCTAAACAAATGAGACTGTGCATGACCTTGACGTTGTTTTTGAGGAACGCTGAAATAAGTGAGCAGAGTTGAGATTCAGGAGAAGGAATGACTCTGCAGAGCAGCAGACTGATTAGCTCCTCTCCAGACTGCTGATACCCCCAGATGCACTCAGCAGACAGTGTTTTGCATTCAGCTCCATCTGTAGAGAGAGATAGAGATGGAGAGAGAAGTTGGAAAAAGTTGCGAGACAAAGAAGAGACGAGGAGGGGGAAAGTGTGGAGACCGAGGGCAACGAGAGAGATAGAGAGAGAGAAGGGTGAGAGGGTAACAAGAGCGAGGCAGAGCTGGACGGCAAAGACCAAGTAGAAAGTCTGAGCGAGAGAGAAATGGGCAAAGACCGAGATGGAAAAAAGAGAAAGAGAGAGAGAGAGCAGGCTTTGCTGTCGTCTGCAGAATTTCACAGCGGTATCAGATTTCTATCCCTTCTCGCAGCTCTCTCATTCCTTTGTTCATCCCTGTCGAGACTTCCACACTTCTGTTAACCTCCGTCACTCACACCGGCCATTTGGGCTTCAGATGTAAACACTGCGTGAATCTAATCAAGACCAAATCATTATGCAAGCAAGTTTCTTGATGGCCATTCAGTCAAATCTCCCTCAGTTTTAGTCGTTAACAGTTTATTTAGGATTATCGATTGATGTCTGCTTTACCAAGATTCTGTTAATAAAACATTCTACATGCCTTATTTTTCACATAAGCTCAAACATAGTTGCTTGTAAGTTGATTGTGCTGGCTTCTGGTGTCATCTGATTTGGTTATTTTGCAATTTGGTGCCTTATGTTGCATGCATATTGGTATTTCTTTCCATGTTGTTTTATTGTATTTGCTTAATTATAAATGCAGTGGTGTGTAGTGCAGACAGCGACACGGTGGCTTTGTGGTTTGCCCTGTCGCCTCACTGCAAGAAGGTCACTGAATCGAGTCCCGGCTGAGTCGGTTGGCATTTCTGTGTAGAGTTTGCATGTTCTACCCATGTTCGCATGGGTTTCCTCCGGGTGCTCTGGTTTCCCCCACAGTCCAAAGACATGTGTTACTGGTGAATTGAATTAGCTAAATTGGCTGTTGTGTATGAGTGTGAGCATGACTGAGCGTGTATGGATGTTTCTCAGTACTCGGTTGCAGCTGGATAGGCATCCGTTGTGTATAGCATATGCAGGATAAGTTAGCAGTTCATTCCACTGTGGCGATTCCTGATGAATAAAGGGACCAAGTCGAAGGAAAATGAATGAATGAATGAACGAACGAATGAATGAATGCAGTGCAGACACTAGCATCCCAACATCAAGCAAATCTTTTCAAAGTTCACAAAAAAAGAGAAAATAAAAATCTCAGATGTAAATTTGGTGCATTTCCATCAAGCTCTTCCATTTGAGTGTATGACTGTAATATTGGGAACCTTTAGGCAAGCATTATGAAGAATCCACTGTAAAAAATGCTGAGTTCCACACAACTCCTTCATTTTCCCAACACAATTTAAGTTAATTTCATTGTTTTTACAATTTCAAGCAGATTGAACAAAACAAAAAAAACTGAAGAGATAATTATTCACCTTAAAAAAATAGCATTTTGAGCTAGGTAAAAAAATAAACTGGTAATTTTGATTTAAAGCAGACTTTAACATAAACTGCTGCAGAGTAGTTTAGAAGTAAAGAAACAAAAATTATGTTTTACATTAAAAAGGTGCAGTAGGTGTTCTGCCAAAATGCTAACCAGTTGGCATGATATCTTTAAAAACACAATCCCTCCCCTGTTGTCCAATGCCACGCCTCGTGAAACATGAACGTGCACACCTTAAAGATGACAGTAGGCAACCCAGATCATGTCATTCGCTGGTTAAAAAGCGATGCTGTAAAAGGTCCCTTATGAAATTGAAAATAGTCACATCAATTTTTAGCCCAGAGATTTCAGTGGCTGAACAACACTTCTGTGCATATAGCCCATTCTTAACAACACTATCTACATCAGCATTGTATGACCAAAATAATTTTAAAACATAACATTACCTGTCTAAAAGAAATACTTTAACCTTGCTGTCATCCTTCCTCTAGCATGCAAAAGTTACTTATTGATTGATTATATAATATAATATTACATTAAATAATATTGATTCAGGATTTTTAAAAGTTTTGATTCAGCATTTGTTTTTACCACTGTGACTCGTGTGCACATGTCAAGAATGTGGTGCATGAGCAAACGGCACATCTGTCTATGTGAAAAGGGGTGCACAGATGTACAAACCTACATTTGCTGAGAGAGTTTGAGCTACTTATCAGATCTGTG